AGATTTTTATTTTTTTTTATTCTTATTTTTTTTTTTGTTGTTGTTTTTCTGTTATATTCAATTTCTCACAGTGAGTGAGTGCTTATTATGGTAATGCTGAACTATAAAGTCCTGCCTGAGGTTTAAAATTTAATAACTAAATTCATCCAAATAAGAGGACCATTTAACCAAAGTTCCAATAAAACCTCCTTTCTTAAAATGTTTACATAACTTAATTCACAAGAATTGGATTTTTGTTGGATTATATTTTATTTTTGAAATTTTGTCTTCACCCAACAGTTTTGTTTTTATTTTTAAGCAGCAAGCAACAAACAACTCACTAAAATTTTGTTCTTTGGATAAATTTAGTCAGGAAAGCAAATGTAATTCAAATGAAATCAGTGAATCAAAATAGGAAATTAATTCAGTTTAGGAAACAATTTGAATGAATGATAAAGATGGCAGCCATGTTAATGTATGATTTAAAACTGAATTCAGAATAAAATTTTACAACTTGATTCAACTTTTGAAATCTTTATGAAATAATTTCATTATTTGTGGATCTATTTATTTTAATTTTTTTTTTTTTTTAGTTTTATTCAAATTTTCAAGTGAGAAGAATTTAGGAAAATAAGTTCATTTCTTATATAATAATTTCCAACCTTCATTTTTGTTAGACTCTTTTTCTTCACAAATAATCTCTTCGCTAAAGAATGGATTGAAAGTGGATCAGTTGTTTGCTACAATCACCAGGTACAAATTGATGACATTATGCTTGCTGAGAACCTTTGTCTTCTCTGTGTATGTGTGTTGTTGTTGTTGTTGTTGAAGGCTAGGAAAGCAAATACTGTTCAAGCAGCAACAATGCTTCACTTACTTTAACCACAGTTTGAGGAAAGATGGATCAACAAAAATGGCAGGCATAGAAAGTAACTAAAAACTGTATTAAAATAATTCTATATGTGGATCTTTTTGTTATTAAAATTGATGCAAAACTTGACAGCCATTTTGTATTTCTTTTGAATGATTTAAAATCTTGTTTTTGAACTAGATGTCCATTTAAGCTGTTTTTGTAAGTTTGGAAAACAAACAAGAATTATTGTTAAAAGATGTGTTCATTTTAGCTTTTTCATTTTAGCTTTTTCAACAAGTGAATCTAGTGCTTATAAAACTGTCAGTATTATTTATTGTTGAATAGGGTTTTTTTGCCTCAGATTAGTGTGTAGCACTCATAAATTTGTTGAAGTCTTACACGCACACATATATTGTTTAAAATTTGCCATATTTATGGAGGAAGAGTGCTCAATATATAAGGAGCTGAGCATTTCTAGATAAAAACAATGCAGACATAGAAATCAAAACTGCATCATCCGTGTCCTGGGTAAGACAAACTACTTCCAACATCAAGGCCTCTTATCAGGAGGTTTTGAGGAGTGTGGAACCACCTCTTAATTGCTGATGTTCCCAGGTCTACCCTGACCTGGGGTGATAGCACCTGTTAGGTTCCCAGCCATGGGTAAATACTTAACCCCCAAACTCAGGTCAAAACACTATGAAAGTGTAAAAAAAATTACCAGCAATACATTTTCTTTGAAAAACAAATATTACCAGCGAAAGAAAATTCTTACCAGAAATGCATTTTTGAAGAAAAAATTTTACCAGAAATAGATCTTTGGAAAAAAAATATTACCAACAATGAAAATTTTAACACATTGAGGTTGATATGGCGTAAAACAAACCAACCAAAACTGCATCATCTGATGATCTAAGGCATGAAATTTCCAGTTAACAGATTACACGTTTTACTTCCTTGTAGCTTTTTAGTGCCATATTTTGGATTAACCTACTCTTTGACTGTGATAACAAATAAAGAAAAAGCTTCCAATAAAGCTTGAATTTGCATGCCCTCAGAAACTACTTCTTATTTGTTGATTCAAGTTAAAGATTTTTTTATCTGAAATAAGGAGTTAATCTTAGCAAATCCTTTCAGTTTTGAGGTTTTCAATTATTCTTTTTGTTAAATGAGAATTCAAGAAAGATATCTTATTTTTAAAAATAAATAAATAAATAATACTTTCTTCACAGATGGTATCTGCATGAGCCCATGGGTGGGTAATAGTCCTAATCTCAACAAGATCAATAAAATAAAAATATTAGCTGTTAATATTAGCAAATAATATACATAAAATATCTATCAAATTTAACAGAATTTCTGTTAATAAACTGTTCTATATAAGGCTAAAGTAATACTTATTAGAATAAAGGTCTCAGATTTTTTTTTTTTTAAATCACTGTTCAGGACTCTTGATAAGAATGATTTAATACAATCGCAGAAAAAAAAAAATTTCTGTGATTGTATTAAAGCCGTCCAGTGCTTACTGCATTCTGTTGAGGTTTTTTCTAGACTCGATGAATTACTTAATTTTGATTATCTCTCATCCTCCTAATTGTTTCTATTTATATATATATATATATATATATATGACTGCTCTTCATTAATGAATTGAGCTCTGCTGGTGTTTATATACATCCATATATAATGTTAGAATTTCCCCTTTCTCTGCCATGTGCTGATAACTTAGGGGTAAAATCTCCAAGTCATGCCAAATTGGTCAGGTTTCCATCCCGGCTTGAAGCAATTGGATAAGCTGTGAAACAGGTTTGTATGTGGGTGACACACACATGTATACATACTTTATTTTAGGATATTACATCAAAAAATGTCAAAATCGCTACACAATTGCAGTCGTGTTTTGATGCGTATCAACACATCAGGTGACAGTAATTAACAATTACATCAAGCATGACTGCAATTGTGCAGCAATTTTGATGTGTTTTTCAATGTAATATCCTAAAATAAAGAATATTGCTCTACTTTGTCTTAAGCCCTCTGAAATTAAATGCTACAAACGTTAGAATTGTACTCTACTCGTTCTCCTCTTACCTGGTTGGAGATATATATATGGGAGAATAGCCTAGTGGATTAAAGTGTTGATTTGTGAATTTTGTGCCATCAAAACTGAATCCTTGGGCAGAGCAGTGTGTACCTGAAATCTGTAGAAAAAAACAGGTGAGCAATAACTGAACAGTACTAAGAACTAGATGAAATATTGCTAGACATGTTAAGTGGAACAATAACAGTCTATCCCTGCAGATTAAATAAAGGGTTCAGTTCTGTAGGTTGGATTACCATGCACCTGATTAAGGTAGGAAGGGCACAATGGCTGAAATGTGGTAACAGCAGCAAAGATGGACATTAATTTATTTCTATTTTATGTTGAAAAAAAAAAAATCTTTCGGCTGTCTTTCTTGCTGTGCAAGAAAAAAAAAAAAAATCTGTTTAAAAACAAGCATCAAAAATCAAGCTTGGTAGGTTTGAGCCACAAAAGCAAAACTTGAATCAATATTCATTATATATTTTTTATCTTCTCTAATAAGGCATTTATTTGAAATACTTTGTTCCAAGTAAACTGGTATATCAAACTTTAAACTATATATATATATATATATTAGCTTAAAAGCTGCCCAATAGGCCAGCTTTTAAACTAGTTTCTGTGAAGGGCTCTTTTGTTTGGGCCTTCATCAATAAAAACTTAAGGAATCAGCATATATGCTAGGCCACAAAAATCTGAGACGACCAAGCATAGAAATGAATACGATATGGGATCCAGTAATAAGGAGTGCCAGAGAAAAGCGATAACAAAAATGGCAATATGAGATCTGGTAAAAAAAAAAAAAAGCAATAATGGCAAAAAATTGCAATATGAGCACTGGTAAAAAAAAAAAAAGTTGCTGAAGACATTAGGTTTATAATACCCAGAAATTCATGCACAGATGTCCACAAAGTGGATAAAGAGTGTGAGTTCAATACCCAATTAAGGCAGTGGAGAACTTTCAGAGGGAAATTAACAGGAGATAACTGATATCCATTAAACATGGAACTAGAACAGTCTACCCCAGTGAGCGAAATAAAGGGTTCAGTTCGACATTCCAACGACCTGAAGAAGGCCAGAGCGTACAACGGCTGAAACGTAATAAATATGGTGACGAAGATGAGGACAATAGTCCAAATAGTGTAAACAGAAATATTATAGAAGTGGTGTTAACTCAAAAAATTGAACCTGCAGAATGTATGAAACTCCAAGTTGTGCAACCAATGTAAGAGATTATGTATATTTTTTAATATATTAATAGCTCTGTTATTTAACACTGAGCACTTTTTCTTACACTATATGACATGGGTGGTTATATATGTTAGTAACTTACTGACCCGATAATATCTATGGACACCTAATAGAGAATTGTTCACTAGTAACTTGCTAACTTCTACTTCACAGCATTAATATTTTCATAGTCTGACACAAGATGATGAGGAGCAGCCTCCAGCAAAGGTGAAGCCCACAACATTAGTCAGATTAGTTTGACATTTAATCCATAATGAAATATTTAAATTTGAAATTTTCTGGCTGTTTTACAGTTGGCATTTAATAAATTTAACTTAGTTTGGCAAAAGGCCATTAAGAAAGTGGCACCTAATACTAAAACTGGTTGAAGGGTCGACAAAGATTTTTTTCCTTCAAGAAAAAAAAAATATGAATTTGTGTACAGCATTAAAAAAAAAAAAAAAAAAAAAATCACCTGAAAATCCAAAATTATATTTTTTATATCCACAAACTTCATTATAAAAAAAAAAAATTAAATTTCTAAAATGATTTTAAGTCATTAAATTTTAGACTTATCAGAAAATATTTTTTTTTGATGGTAAGTCATTTTATTTTGTAAAATATTTTAAGAAAAAAAAAAAAAAAAAATCAAGTCCCAGGTGGATTTCTTTTTTTAACTCACCCTCACGTCTAGATGTGTCATGGTTAAAAAGCTCATTAGCACAGTATTAAGATTCAAATCCCATGATGCAGTTTAGTATTGTATAATCAAGTGGGATCACTCAGGTCAACCCACAAGTCCAAAATTGGCAAGGCAATTTAAATTATTCAAATTTTAAAAGAAATTCAACAGCCATTTTAATCAACAATGGAGAGACCTTTGATATCTTGGAGCTTTTGTTGAATGAGGCCAGCATAATTTTCTGCTGTGAGATTTTCCTGTATCAACTGACCAGCCAATTCACTGTAGATTTTGTAAGCTTCTGAATTGTATGTCACCTGGCAAAAGAAAAATCAGGAACACTTTAAAACATAATTGCTAAGGATTTATTTGAACATCTGGTCTCACTTTTGGAGGAGGTTATAAACCCCAAAATGGAAATGGAGCAATCATCAGTTTTTCAGATATTAAATAGCATCACTGGAAAGCAGTATGTGGAGGATAAAATGAAGACAAAATGCAAATTTAAATATTGGCACTTTGTATCTCGCCTGAAATCAAGTGAAAAAAAGTCTATTTGAAGCCCCAACTTCATTTGCTTTTCAATTAAAAGCACCTGTTGGACCAAAAGCATTTCATTATCCTCATTATATAAATCCTTTTTCAAAATTATTGCAACAATTATGCAATCGTATAAATTTGGTAAGAAGTATTGATTCCCACCGAATTGTATAAAAATAAAACGTCCTACCTGAGATTTAATCAAAGCTTCCAAACAAGGCTGGAAGTAGTCAATCCGGCAGTCGTACAATTTTGGCATGTCTTCCATTAAAATATAATGCTGCTCATAAAATTCTTCTTTTGCTGGCTGTAAGGATTTCCGACTCTATTAATAAAAGGAAAATAAAAATATTTGCTAAGTTTTAGTATTTTGTAGAGTACTGTATGGATGTTGGTTCACGTTTGGTGTGGAAAATGACAAGACAAATAAAGGCCATGATTTTTTTTTTTTTTAACTCAGAAAAGTCAACACAGGGGATAAAGATTTCAAGAGAAACATTTGAAAATTTGTATTTGACAGCATAAAAGACTCTTCCATTTCAGCAGGGGATATTCAGGAGAAATAAAAAAAAAAAAAAGAGTTTAATGTGTGGAAGTCTGTAATGTTTAAAACAAAATTTTAAGTACAGAACATTGCACAAGAAAAGGAAATTGAATAAATATTATTATTGAGTCAGACTCAGTAGAAGTGACCATATAAGATAAAATTATAGCCTATAGTCGTAAATATTGGGAACAAAATTAGCCTACATGGGGCGTCAAATTTTAGACACAAGGATTTGGTGGCTGGCGGGCGGGCGGGCGGGGGTTGGGTGTTAGCCTTTTTTTTTTTTCCAAATACAGTATGTATAAAGTTAGAATCAAATTGTATTTGACCAAGACAAAAAGAAAGCACTTGTAAAACTAAATTGGTCATCAAAACAGATTTGCAAACCATTCACATTCTTGGTCATTTTCCAAGAAGAATTTCCAACTTGTAGATTTTTATTAACCTTTCATACTCTACATTATTTTTCAAGGCTCTTTTACTGCACTACTTAATTTCAATCATGGTCATTTTCTGTTGCGATAGCAGGATATGACAACACTGCAAAATTCAAACATGCTATCATTTATTCATCTGAGTCACTTGCAGTGACAGTATAATATTTTTGCTTTGCAAACAAAATCACCTCCAAAAGGTTAAAAGTTAAAGAAAAAAAAAAAGAAAACATGATATGAATGAAATCAATTTTTTTTCTTACATGAAGAATTGGTATTCATTTTTTAACTGGTCTTTCTTTTCTTATTTTTGCTAATTTTTATTTTAATACTTTGGGTCATTTTCACATTGCACAAAGTGGGTATTGATTTACAAAAAGTATAAAAAAATAAACAAAAATCAATAATATCTTTGACAAGGTGATCTGTTTTAGGGCCAATTTTGTCTGTAAAAAAAAAATTGATTTAATTATATCGTTGTTGTTCATAAATGATTTAAATTCTAAATACAACCTTTTGCCTTAGTGGGTTAAGATAACTTCTTAATTCTGACAAAATTGACACAACACAATCTCCTCCCCAATCACATTTATCGCATAAGATATTGTAAGGTGTTAAGTGAAGCTTAATAAAAGTATCAATGTTTATGGGACAGAGGTTGTAATCTATACAAACCTGTCCCATAATAGTTGGTACATTTGTATACACATTTCATACACGAAATATAACAAATATTATGGGACACAGGTAGCATGATTCTAAAAAGTATTTTTTTTTTACCATTTCTGACAGCAGTAATCCAATTTCAGCTTGATCTGGATCTTGTAAAGGAAGAGGATAGCTAGAGGAGTTAAGTACTTGCTGGAGTGATACAGAGAACTGACCATTTTCACAGCATCTTTAGCAATGGATCATATGTAAGAGTTCCATTTGAAATCTGAGTTGAGTTTAAATCCCAATAAATACTAAAGGCAGAGAGCCCTCTAAGGGAACATTTGGTGGAAGTTCTGGGTTAAGAATGCAAAAAGAAAGGTTACCTGATGCAATTTGACAATATTATTTCCTGTTCGATCGCGTTCCTGATATTTTTTGACTTTAGCTTCCCATTTTTCATATTCCTAGAATATAAAAAAGACAATTTAAAAAAGGAAATCTATAAAAGCAATCCATTATTATTATTATTATTATAATTTAACAAACATCTGCTAGAAAAGAAACAGCTGCAGTGCTTCTAAAAGATGAAAGCAGAGAATCAGTCATGATTTCAAAGCTTCGATTTCATTTGTCATTAACTTTTTCTATACCTCACAATATTACCAAGTTTTAATGCCTTTAAATGTTCATCTTGGATATTTTTAAACAATTAGGTATGTGATATGATTGACATCTTTTCTTTCCAGGCATGATTATTTTTTAAGTTTCATTGAAAAAGTGTCAGTTTTTTGCCTTCCTAAGTTTTCAATCAGCTGTCATTTGAATGAATTATAACAGAATAGTAAAATATCTTGTCAGCTGCTATACGACAAAGAATATTTCATTAATTGCTCGTAAATGATTAAACACTGTAGTTATATATATATATATATATATATATATACAAAAAGCTACAATAAGAATAAAAAATTATTTAATTCAAAGTTATACAGAACTCTTGATATTTTGTCATATTTAAGAGATTTCCGTAATGTTAAAGAACCCAAAATAGAGGGTAAAAACCTCAGAAAATGTGATTATCAGATTTTGTTGTCTATGAAGACATTAAGGAGATGAAATGAAGAAATCATTTTATAAGTGTGGATGTATTGTAAAAATGTCAAAGAACGCAATAATTTATTAAAATGTACAACCTCCAAAGATTGTTCTCGCTTCTTTTTTGCCGTGTGAAGACTTGGAAAGATCATATTGAATCTGTAATTAAAAAGAAAATCAAGTTTTTGTTAATAATGGAATCTACATTAATAAGTGAAATATGAATTTCTTATATTTCTGTTAACTGTAAATATACTGAAGAGATGACCTGAGAATTTATTGGACACATGGTTGCGGGGGGGGGGTCTTTTAATTTGGCTGAGAATATTCAGGAAAAATCAGATTTGTCTATGAATGTAAACTTTGCCTTCATTGGGGGAGGCAGGGGATGCTTCTTCTAAAGCAGGGGTCAGCAACCTACGCCACACATGGCACGCCAAGCAATTTCCAAAGGCACGCAGCTGCAAATGACATGAAGTCTGAACCAATAACTACTACAACACAAAGAAGTTATTTAGCCATTTCAATTTTAATATATACTAAAGTAAATATACTATATATATTACTATATGAAATATACTGTAGAACAGGTATATTGACCTTGACTTGTATAAAAATACATATACATATACCCTAAATCAGCATATAGTCAGCAATTGTTGCCGACCCCTGTTCTAGAATATAAAAATTTTTCTTTTACAAATGCTTACCCTCCCATACAAGGCCCAATAGCCACTCAAGCTAGAAAGTTACTGTTTGGTGATGTGTGCATTTGATGAAGCTACGTCAGAAAGATAATGGCTAGCCCTAAACATGAAGTAGTTAAGATTGTATTGATTGGGAAAACATCTCGCTGGGTGTCTGTTCCACAAAGGGGCAGTTCCTAGAAAGAAGTTGTTCAAGTGGAAATTACTTCTCACTACAGGAATATGGAGGGAATGTGGATGATTCATCTGTGTACAGTTCCAGTCCAACAAGGGGGGGAGACAGATACGTAGTGGAGCAGTACAAGGAACTGACTATTTTTCCAGTATATCTGCATTTAGACTATGTATGGTGATCAATTTTGCACTTTCACAATTCATTGGTTTAGGGACATAAATATTTCACATATCTAAGTTTGAATTTCAAAATAATTTTTTAAAATGTTGGCTAATATTTCATATAAACAAAAACAATGAAAACATTTTTCTCAGGTATACAGGCAAAACATATAGTTATAAAATTTAATGTGCATTCATATATTTTTGTATGTATGCATGGAAATCATTTTTTAGAATGCACAGATACTATACTGATCATAATCAGAAGTGCCAATCTATATGTAAATAATTGCATTTTGATGGGTACTATGCTAATAAATGAAGGAGAGAGAGAGAGAGAAGTAAAACTTACTTTTTCACTGGTTCTATCATAGTTTTCTGTATATTGGAATTCTGGAAAAAAGAAAAAGAGTTTTAATAACAAAAGGTTTTTTTTTTATCCTAATTTATTCAAACAACCAATTCTTTTGTCTTTTTTTGTATTTTCATTGATTTTTATCTATTTTGGTAATTAAGAAAAATGTTACAAAACTTAAAATAATTTGCAGAAAATTAACATATATGATCGGAACTAATACACAATTTTTTTTATAGTGTCTAAAGCTCACTTTTTTTTCCCTTCAAATATTGGAATTTTATAAATTTGTAATAAATGCATGTAACAGGAACAAGTCTAGATAGAAAATAAAGATAGTAGATGAACAATAACCTAAATTTAACATACTAACTCTTGTACAAATGAGAAAAATTAACATAAAAATGCAAACTTAACAGTTAAGAAAAAGAGGTCATTATTTACATCATTTGTCCTCATTTTTGTCGCCATATTTATTACAACGTTTCGGCCGTTGTACGCTCCAGCCTTCTTCAGGTGGTTGGAATGTCAGGTATTGAATTCACAATCATTTGGGTCCTGTCACTGGAGCTAACTAATGGCTTTATCCACTGTGCCATGTGTCCTTCAGTGACAGGACCCAAAAGAGTGTGAGTTCAATACCCGGTTAAGGCAGTGGAGAACTTTCAGAGGGAAATTAACAAGAGATAACTGACATCCATTAAACATGGCATGTGGAACTAGAACAGTCTACCCCAGTGAGAAAAATAAAGGGTTCAGTTCAACATTCCAAACACCTGAAGAAGGCCGGAGTGTACAACAGCTGAAACATTGGAATAAATATGGTGACAAAGATGAGGACAATAGTTTGAATAATGTAAATAAATGTACATAATACCTCATCTCAGAAATATGGACAGATACTGAAGGGGCAAAACGTTGTTATAAATATGGTGACAAAGATGAGGACCATAGTCTAAATAATGTAAATAGTGTACATAATACCTCATCTCAGAAATATAGACAGATACAGAAAAAGAAGAGTTTAAAAGATTATAGATAAAAGAAAAAATATGAATTTAAAAACAATACTATTAAATAATTATTGTATAAAAAAAATTTAATTATTACTTTAATACTAATAATTCTTCTTAAATTATCATATATTTATATTAAATTATTATTAGGAAAATTTATTATAAAGATAAATCTATACACCTACCAAATTGTAAATATTAATTTAATTATAACATATTTAATTAGTCTAAAGTAATTATATTCATATTACTTTAATATTAAGTAAATTCATTACATTAATATTAATCCATTCAATACTATATATATATAATTAAGTGAAAAATTTAAAAGTAAATTTTTAATTTATATTGTGACCCTGGTTTCACACCCTTGTGATCATCAAAGTTTGTCTGATGATCGCAAGGGCGGGAAACCCAGGGTCACAAACTCACATCAATACAACCAGGTATATATACCACACTCTACTTCAGAACTTACACCCAAAAATCAAATTCATCCAAGAATATAATTTCAATGAATTACCATTTTTAGATATACTCATTAGAAATAAAAACAATCACATAACCACAGATATCTACCACAAACCTACAAACACCCAACATTCTTCATTTCAAGAGCCATCACCCAAAAAGCTGCCCGAAATCCATCCCCTATTCTCAAGCACGTAGGGTTTATAATGACTGAAAACACCTCCGAAAAACCTGCCTAGAAGAACTACCTAGAACTCTAAAACAAAACAAAAAAAAGGCTACCCCACAACATTAATAAACAAAGGTTTTGAACTCACAGAAAAAATTCCTTTAGACTAACTAGAAAGTCCAAAGAAACATAACATTGAACAAACTCTAGAATATATGTCTCAACATACAACAAGAACAATCCAAAACTATTTAGAGGAATTACAAAATATCTAGACCTTCTTAGCAAGAATGACAAACCGAAAAATATACTAAAAACAATCAAAATAATTAAAAGCAAACACCAATCTAAAAACCTAAAAAACATATTAACCTCATCCAAATTTAACCAACACACAATACAGGGAGTCACAAAATGCAACAAAAAAAATGTGGGGTTTGTGACATCATTATAGAAGGAAACTAATACAGTTTTGAAAACCTCAAAACAACATTCATAATAATTAAAAATTTAAACTGCAACTCCAAAAGATGTGATTTATGCACAAAATGCAAGAAGTCGTATATAGGTATCAGCCAACAACGAAACAACAGTTTCCCTCCACAAAAGAAACATCAAATTACCAAACAACAGAAAACACTTTGTATCACAACACATCTATAAGGGTGAATTTAAAATTATGCCAATATATCAAACAGACAATTACTCTTACCTACAAATACAAGAAAAAAAACAAACTTCATAAACAAATTTAAACCAGCACAAATAGGTCATAAAAACACAACATGCACACATAATGGCCAAATACAGTGGTCGAATCACTCACATGCATACACACACACAGGTATCTGTGGAGCACAAATATATATATACACATATTGACAAAAACAAATAGACTACTCACAAGCACACACACGAATCCTACACAACATAGGAAGTGTGTGTATGTGTATGTATGTATATATGCGCATACTAATTCCTTATTGTATGTATGTATGAAGAGGGAATATACATATGCATGCTAGCAAAAACACACACAATACAAAAAATGGAAATAGATCTAAGAACACACAGGGGGTCATTAAAAGATAAGAATACAGATATCTTTCCTCACCCTTTCTTGGACCAATCTTAATTGCTTTTATTACCCTTCAAGCAGAAGAACTTTCTCACTGACAGTCCAAGAAAGTCATTTGTTCCACTAACACACAAAAAAGAAAATGTTTAACATTAAAAAACATAAGGAAAATTAATTCATTTTAATAATGTGGAAATATCCACTCTTTGCCTGAAGAAGGTTGTGGGACCCGAAACATGTTGCAAAATTATGGAAAATAAAGCATAATATATATTTTAAAAAAAAATCTATATTACAACCAAAAACATTTGCAGTTTCTCTCTTCTTTTTAATATATCTTTTTATATATATATATATATATATATATATATATATATATAGAGAGAGAGAGAGAGAGAGAGAGAATAATAAGATTTGGTAAAATACCTAATGTTTTATATATTTATATGTAATATTTATAATACACATATGTTTACAGAGAATTATTAAAATTGTTTTACTTATATGTGGGTTTTTTCACGGAAAATTGTTTTACTTCAACCGGTTTTGCTTTTAGCTTTTTAAAATATTTGTAAATGTTTATTAGATATCAAGTGTTTACACTTAAGCCCAGGATAAAAAAAAAAAAAAAATTAAGTGGCATTACTGGTTTTGTCAGTTGCTTATTATAAGGAAAATATCATAGAATCTATTTTGATGTTTGTACCTCTGTACAATTGAGTTTTGGTTTAAATTTGCTGATAACAAATATTTCTTTAGTAACGTGCTTTTGTTCAGTGATTTTGTAGTCATATTGGTAGAATGAGAAGATATTCAAGTTTGGCAGATTTGCTCTTCCGAACTCATCTCTATGTTGGCTAAGGGGTATTTTTCTAGTGTGGGGTGCTCTAATTTGTTGGCGATAAACTGTCATCTATTAACAGAGGCTCTGACTGGCTTCACCAATGTAGTGTTCATGGTAACCTTTTCAAGTTATAATATATATTAGATTCTCTGGGTTGTATGAGAAATTATTTTTAATTTGAAAAAACATCTTTGAAGTGAAATTCATGGCCTTCTAACAGGTAGATGCATACTACACAGTGGGGGTTGGCTATATCTTTTTACCTGAGGCTCTTTAATTGTGGTCTGCAGTTTTTCACTTTTTATTTATATATATATATATATATATATATATATATATACATACACACACAGAGGGTACAAAGCATAAATTGTCATCTAAATTACACAAAAATGGAAACAACACTGACATCTCATTTTAACAGATATATTTACCAAAATTACACAAAGATTAAATTTATTCAATAAAATTCTCATTAGCTTCAACCACAGCCTTCAGACGACTTTGGAATCTCTTGCAACTCTTCTGGATGGTCTCCTTGCTTAAGTTGGTGAATGTTGCCATAATCCTTGCCTTCAATTCGCCTGCTTGTGTGGCATGGTGCAAAGTCTAATTGCCAGACATAGGTTTTTCCAGCAGCCACCCTCTTGACCCAGAGCAGCACTAACTCCACCAGGAACTTTATGTCCACCTCTATGTTGAGTCTGAGGCCCTCACCAAGTTCTTTTCTTATCAGAATGATCAGAGTGAGTTTTCAAAGCTGCTGTATCTTCGTAATCACCATTAGACTCATCCAACTCATTCCAAATCATCTGCAGTGGACTCAGATTGACACACAAACACTCTGAAATGTTCGTATTGGAGCTTCCGATACAAATGCAAAGCAGTACCACATGCCGTTTCCAAATTTCTGGCAGAGTGAATTGCATGGTAGTGCTCTTTTTCTCATTGATGGTGTCCAGTTGACCTTATTATACTGTGCAGTCGAAATATAGAATGGCAATAATTTACCAATAATAATAATTTACCCAATGCACCCTGTATATTTTATATATATATATATATATATATATATATATATATATATGTCAAATTTAAAGGCATTTTCATGGCATTGAGCACTCTTTTTTCCAGAGTAAGGCAACAGTCGTGCACCATAGTGGTTAATGGATAGGTTAATGAGGTCACCAGACCTCACATCCTTGGATTTTTTTTTCTGTGGGGCCATTTAAAATCAATTGTTCATCAGACATGCCCAAGAATTATTGAGAAACTTAAAGAAAGAATTAAATATGAATGCAGTAAAAGGACAGAGGAAACTCTCCTACATGTTAATGAATCCTGCATCCACAGAATTGAAATGTGTTTTGAAAAATAAGGAGGACATTTTGAACGGCACATATAACAATTATATAGGTAGTAAATAAAATTTTCATGTGTAATTATACTTTTAATAAATTATCCCTATTGTATGCGACTTTTGCCTCACTATGTGTGTGTGTATTAAACAAGTTAGCAAATATTACATATACTCCACTATCCAATGGATAGATGCCATAATGAAAAACATATTTAGTATACCTAACCTTTATGGGAATTTTAGAGTTTCCCTTGGCTGTCTAGCCATAGCATTGTGAATTGCAAGGCAATCTCAGAGATCATTATTAATGCAAGGAGTGGGTGCAGCAAACTTATAACTTTGTGCTAAACTTATATATATATATATGATAGAAAAAGTTGAGCCAATATTTAGTAAAGTAGAGAAAAAGACAACCAGTTTTTCTTGAATATTTCTGGCTCCAATAAAAGAGCGTCTTTGTCGCTTTTGTCTTTTATATGTCATCAAAGAATGTAATTTTATTTAATTATTAAATTAGTATTAATTCTTTAATCCAATATTTGGTAAACTTGTAATAGTATTTGAAAATTTCAAGATGAAATAAGGAGGGAATTTCTTTTTTCTCAACTGTGCATCCAAAATGCTATAAAAAAGGTTAAATAAAAAGAAAACCTTTAAGGTATTAGAATGAAATTATATGAAACCAAAGACTTGAAGAGAAGAGAATTATCAGGTTTATATCACAAACCATTTCCTGCAGGTGAAGATCCAGTTTTACAATGGAGCTGTCCCATTCTTCAACATGTCTCAATAATTGTTCTTCAGACTGGCACAGGGAACTGGCTAGTAGGTCTTGTGTTATTCGACGTTCACATTTACAAAGGGCTACAAAAGAGAAACAGACAAGACTGATGTGAGCTAGATAATAAATGAGGTGTGGGGTGGGGGCCTGCTTATCAGAAATCAAACTGGATACAGACGCTTTTGAAATTAAGCAAAAGAAAGTCCTTTTTAATGAAGCCTTGATGCTCATTCCACTCACAGTGATAATGCAATGTTAAAATGATGAACACATAAAAATAAAATAAAAAATAATATACAAAAATCTGATTGTTTTCTGTTTAAAGAGCATGTAGGGGGGTTTTGATTGATTTATTTGATTTTTATGGCTTATCAAATTTTTGCAGGTTATTTTGAAGGTAATAATGATTTACTGATAAAAATCCTACTAATTAACCCATAGCTGGGGGGAGAAGTGGCTTTATACATTTCCCAATTACAAGTAAATGAATATAACAAACGTAACTGGAAAATTCCAATTCCAAGCTGTTATCCTGTTGCCACTCCTACATTTTTTAAAAACCAACTGGAAGACGAGGCTTAACCAGTAATTGTTGTGAAACTGATTCAGGATATAAAATGACTTTAAAACTTGCAAAAACCATTCTCTTTCATTATGATGCATGTCAACATTCCCAACCTCTCCAGATTGTTCCTCCCCACTTCCAACTTTTTTATTTTGACTGGATCAGCCTTTGATATTTCTCAACACAGTTATTTATTTTGTCTCTTCCTTGCCACTAGCAAGTGAGCCACTTGATTCTGATTAGCGGCAGAATACAGTGGCCAGTCTTACTTTTCTGTGAGGTGGACACGTCCTACTAACATTTTATTAGTTTGAATGTTGTATTTTATTTTTGTTATTGGGTTCATCCCCTCCCCCTTCATTTCCTGTCATATTTTTATAGCAAAAAAAGAAGACATTTACAAATGTCTTTTAGTAGGATCCCTGTGAATATTCAGTATTATGGCAGATATCAGATGAATGGGGATGGATGAATTCTCGTGGTGATTGAGTAAATTGTAATGGAGGAATGGGTCATGAATTAGATTAGCTAGGTTTAAGATAGTCAGTGATGATCAGTCTTGCACCAAAATTGTAAGTTTACATTACAATAATATACAGCATTTTGCAGCAAACATGACAAGGATCTTAGTGTAGTATCTGTTCCAACAGCAGCCAGCTGGCCCACAGCTCTAGCCATCATCAGCAGCAGTTCCAGCCAACCATCATCATCGTCAGCTACAGCTCACCTTCCTCACTAGCAGCAACAATATGTAAGAAACTGTCCTTTTCAGGACAACACTTTTCAATAACTACAAAACTGTCCTTCTCAGGACAATGCTCTTTTCACTCTATATATGAACATGTAGAGATATTTTTTACCTAGTGAACTGTTACCTTATTTTTGCCAATGTAGTTTCTCTAACAAAAGTAAAGTAAAAAATATATATATATATATATATATATATATATATATATATATATATATATATATATATATATATTTATTTTTTTTTTTTTTTTACACAAGTCATCATTTTATTTGTTGTTGTCTTCTGTCATTCAATGTGGGCACATATACAACCCACAACAATTCATTACACCAGCCACACATCCAACCTTACTGCATTTGGTATTCCTAAGTGTTCACCCATCTAGGTACTGACCAAGGTTAGGGTTGCTTAACTTCAGTGATTGTATGAGAACCAGTGTTTCAATATGATAAACTGGGGGTAGTGGGGGGGGGTCTTACATGATATCAAAGATGGTAGGTAGATAGATAAATAGATATACATATATTGCAATGTATATAAAAAATATATATATAAATAGTATACTTTTTTAATCATTTCACTCCAAGGAAGGCAATGAAGCCACTAAGATGAAAAGAATGAAAGAAAATGAGATTTTACCAAAGAGAAAGGATAATAAAAAGAAGATTCAAGGAGACAGAAGGTCATGATTGATGCTGCATTTAAATTGACATGAAATTAAGAAAATGGAAGAGAGTTTCATAGGCAAGGAGTGTGAGAGAAGAAACTATTAGAATAGAACTTCTGGTTACAACTAGCAATTTCAACAGTAAAATAGTGAGACCTACCTGCCAATCTAGTACTGTGCTTAAATTCATGAAGTTTATTTACCAAAAGATGAAAGGTCATCAGTACAAAAAATAGTCTAAAGAACACTCACCAGCAGCAGAATCTGAGCATTTCTTGGCATCTTTGTATAATTTCCGACACGTCTCTTCAAGCCTGTTAAATGAACATCAGTCAAAAGTTAAAACAAGAAAGAATTGGGTGCAACATTTCAGCTGATGTAATTTTTGGTATTCTTCAGATAAATGTTGTATTCTGTAGTTTTAAAAAATTGTTTACTATTTTTTATTCTTTTTCATCTTTTAACAAGAGGGGTCTTAAATTTAGAACTAAATACCAAAGTCTCAAGGCAAGTAAGGAGAACTTTCAAGAAAGTCTGAAAGGACCAATTCTATTTTTGTGAGGAAATTAACCTTTGGGTTGACTTCTTAGATAACATTCTCTTTAACTTAAAATTAAAAGAATAAAAGTATTTTGGGAAACATAATTTAAATAATAATTCAGTGTTTGGAAACTAAAGTTCTAATCAGCCTGTAAGTGAAAGTTGGAAAACCGAGTGATTCTACAGAAATGGACCCCTTTAAGAAATAAACGTTTTCTTAATTTTTTTCTTCTTTCATATTACTATTGAATACGCTATCCAAATCATGAATAAATAATAATAAACAGTATTATAACATGTCTTAAAAATAATTGTCGGACTTTGTTCATTTCATAATGTGTGGCGTCATTTGTTTACATTTGGATACACTTTGAGCAGATATGAATGTATGTGAGAGATTCATTGAAGATTGAAGTTTAAAAGCAGCAAAATCAACCTTGCCAATCGAATGATCCTCTGTGGCTCAATCGGTTAAGGCACGTCAGGTTAAATGATGGTTCCATAAAGGATACAGGTTCAATTCCTGTCGGAGAACGAATATTTTCTATGAAAATTTCTCAGACATTCAGGCCGGTAAATGTTATTAATACTATTTATTATAAAAAGAGAGCATTTACTTAAATATTTGTATCTATAAAAAGAATGTATAAACATAAAAATGTCTTAAAAATAACTGACATTCTCAGTCTAACTATATAACCCCAATGAAATTGTCATGACATACCGAATAAGTTTGCCAAGGACTTTTGATAACTTTTGAATTTGTTGGTTTAGCAACCTGTCCAATGTTGATTTCAATGTAAATTTTGGAAACTTAGAAATCCAGGAAAATGGAAAGCAATTTATGGGTTATAACATCTAGGTTATATAGCTTGTTTGAGATGTTAATTAATAATGTTCATTCCAGGCCGAAGTCTGTATAAACAAAATAAGCACGTGCAGAAATCAGTATACCTAGAGATCGTCAGTACTCATGCCTCAGAGTTGAATGCTTGCAAAGAAAACCTGCAACCCCATCCATGCATTATTAGAGAAGATTTTGCTATAGAAGTAAAGAAATAAGCATTCACTATAGAAGTCATTCACTGCTCAGACATAAGCACTTCCACATTTCTTAACAAACAGACATCTCTCAGTGTCTCAAGGTTAGAAAAGAAGTGAATGGAACGAAACAGCTCTATTGCTGTTGTACAATTATTACATTTCACCTTTAATTGTTGATAATTTTTCAACAGCATCGTTTCTTCTGTTGGCAAGTTAAAACCTATTTCAGCAAGATTGCCAGACATTGAAGAAATAGCACAATCAATATATCACCCAGATCAACAAAATCTATGGTTTGTCATTTCTGGTAGGTACATAATGAAACCCACTCAACTACACAAATTGCCGTGAAAGAAATGATCTTAGCAAAATTTATTGCACTGAACTCAATTCACCAGACTGAAGTGAAGCCCCAAACTAGAACTCTACAACTGACCCCAAAAGCTCCATGGAAGAAACAAATTGTGGGATCATTAGTGTATTGTTCTTTAAGTGTTCTTAAAATGCAATGAAGTGCACATTTAAATGTCCAGTAGCTGCAATTTGTCCATAAAAGTTGGTCTATTCTACCCCACCAATCATATTCAATTTGCACCAATCAATTACTTTTTCAATTGCTGCAAAACACTTTGATGGGGAAAACTTTCTTGAATGAAAAACCTTATTCAAGTGTCAACAGTTACATATCAAAACCTGCAAAATTTTACTCAAATGCTATCAAAAAGCTGCTTGATGAGTGGCAACAAATCATTGTTGGAAGAATAAATTTGATAAACAAAAAATATGGAAATTATTTATGACTAAACATAATATGTAGTTGTTCAAAGCCACACAAAAGTCAATTAAAAAAAAGTACAGTAGTGTTGCCTAATCGTCGTCATTTCAGACAAAATCAACCAGTTCCCTTCACAGGGGATTGGGTCTTATTTGGCTGATTAGATCAACATGAGATCAGCACAATTTTACATGAGTAAGGCATCAAAAAAGATCTCAAAATATTAGATTGTCAACCATGCTTGACTCATCTGATAAAAACTTTGTAAGTACATTTCAGTAGAGCATGTTTGAATGTAGAAAAAATAATTACATGCTTTCCAAAATTATACATTTTCAATTTTGTTGACAATTTTTCATGTTTTTTTTCTCTTCTTAATGGTTAAAAGCTGATTTAATAATGATGTGTGTCTAAATCATTTTCTGAATTCTTATTCTTCTCAATTCACAAAACTAATAATCAGATGGGTTACAAAATTAATACATCAAAATTGTGACATTAAATGTATATGCTTATCTTTGGGATATCTTGACTGATTTCAACCATAATTTGTATATGAAAGTTCTGAGCACTACCAACTTCCTACGACTAACATCAAAATATCAATTTTGGTTAAGTGGGCCAGGCTGAGAACTTTTCAGCACCCCATCATATTATCTATTTACTAATTTCTCTAATAAAAATATTTCAACAACACCAAATTATTTTCAGAAAAAAAATGATGTAGCAGCTATAATTGAAATACAAAACTATGTAACCCAAAAATGAATGAAACAATACACATATTAATAAAAAAAAGAATGAAGCCAAAAAACAAAGAGTAACAAAACAATTTTATCAGTTAATTACGGTTAGATTTTTTGTCAGTTTTTTTTTTTTTTTTGTAAAGAAAATTCTTATAGAACTACAAAATAGTCAACCTTATCCATTATAAAGTAAACTCCTATTCTGTGTCTTTGCAAGTTTAATATTTACACTTTTCTATCTTGAATCAGAGTGTAGTATCTGTCGGATTCCCAGTCCTTTTCAGCTGGAAACAGACACACATTCTGATTAAGAAATCTTTATGACATTTTTAATGGGCAGAAAGGAATCGAATAAAACTCAGAAGAAGAGGAAGGATGAAAAGAAAAATGATAATAGATAAGTAAGTTTAAAAAAGAAATAAAGACGTTCTACAGAAGGATGCTGAGAATAACATGAAAAGAACATGTGAGCAACAAGAGAATTTTAAGAAAAATAGGCATTACTAGAAAAATGTTACTAATAATTTGACAGAGTAGAAAGTTCTGGAGCACATAATGAGGAAAGAGGGCTTGGAGAATTTGACACTCACAGGACATACTGAAAACAAGAGAAACAGAAGGAATCAGTGAGTAAACTATTAAAAGAGTTTGTTTAAATTAACAGCAGAACAGGAATTGGAAAAGATGGTAAAGGGACATACTGCTTAGAGCTACAAAGGATAGGAAGTTGTGGAGAGCCAGGATTGATTACACAGCACATAAAAGTTTGCTAAATACCCCAAAAAGAAAAACCTACTAAAATAAAGACTTTAGTTAAATCTGAATGTTATCATGTATAACTTCATTATTTTCATTTATATCTGTGTGAAAAGATCCTCTTTAAAAATCTAAAATTAATTTTATCTATTGTTAAAAAAAAATTACTTACTCTTCTATCTTCTTGGCTTCCTTTTCAAATAATCTTTCTTCCTGCAAGAAACAAACAAAAAAAAAACAATTTTCTTGGTGCTATATTAAAATTCCTCCAATTAGTTCTTTAGAAAACTCAACAGATATAGCAGTTGTAACAAAAGAGAAAAGCAGCAGCAGCAGTATGACAAATAGTAGCAGCAGGCAGGTGAAAATTAAAGTAGAAAAGTAGAAAATGACAATAGCCAAGTGGATTAAAGGGCTGGTTTGTGAATTTGGTAACATAGTGATTGTGGGTTCAATCCCTAGACCAGGTAGTGTGTATTTAGATTCAGTGGAAACAGGGAAAATCATCTGAGCAGTACTAAAAATAAGAATTAGACAAAATATCCCGAGGCAGTAGAATGAGAATAGTCTACCACCATTGATTAAATAAAGGGTTCAGTTTGGAATTCTCTGCAGGTTACACCTGATGAAGGCTGGAGGACATAATGGCTGAAACATGATAATAACAACAAGAACAATAGTCCACTTCTAAATAGTGTAAATAAAGATAATGAATTGCTGATTTTCTGAATTTCTGGGGTGAGTTAACAGAAATTCAACAAATGAAATTTATATTTAATCAAGTTTAATAAGTAAATAAAATTTGTTTTTCTTTTTTATCACTATGAAAAATAACTTACAATTTAGTATTTACATTTACATCTCTCCAGCTTCTTGCTTCCTAGTCAACTTTGATCTTCAAAAATTTAAAAGCAATGTCAATCATTATCTTCTGTCTTCCTAATTCTTGTTCTTTTATTGTCCTCTCTCCTTAGTAGTTTTTCTCATATTCTCTAACACTCAGTAACCCCCTTTGCATCCTAGTGGCTTTATTGCCTTTGATCTTCAAATATTTCAATACAATGTCAATCATTATCTTTTGTCTTCTTAATTCTTGTTCTTTTATTGTCCTCTCTCCTTAATGGTGTTTTTTTTTTCTCACTCAGTAATCCCTTGTCTTTTAGTGGCTTTATTGCCTTGCTTGGGGTAAAATGATGCAAAAAAGTAGTTGTTCTAAGGAAGTAAGTCATGAAAGACTGGTGTAATCCTTATTTATTTACATTAGAACTAACATCCTCATCTTTGTTGTTATCATCACAATGTTTGAGCCACTGTGCTCTGTGACCTTCACATATCAAACATTAGGTTTAAGGCTCAAAGTTCTAGCTTCCAGCTTAAAGCATTGGTTTGAATTTGGTGACATAGTAATTGTGAGTTCAATCTCTAGCCTGAGTTGTACAGACTTGGACTCAGTGGAAAAAGGGCAAGCATTAACTGTACTGTATTAAATAAGATATTGCTAGACATGGACAGCAGAATAAAAACAATTGACTCTTTAGTTTAAATAAAGTGTTCAATTTGAAATTCTCTAAAGGTTACCTGGATGCCAGAAGAAGGTTGAAGAGTACAGTAATCAAAATATTATGATTATAACAACAAAGATGAAATTCAAAGTCTGATTGTAATTAATATAAATACTAAATTGTAAGTCATCAAAAACATTGTTAAATAAATAAGATATTTTTCATAGAGACAAAAAAAAGAAAAAAGTATTTTATGTATTTATTAACCTTGATTAAATATCATTTAAATTTTCATTATTTCATTTTTAGACCTTTCTAGAAAAAATAATTTATACTGACAATCATGATTTGTTTTAAAATGCTAAAAATCACCTCATTCACAGTTCCTGTTGTTTTTTGTTTTTTTATTTGCCAAAAATCATCTCGTTAATAGTTCTTGTTGGCTTTTAAGTATTTAGGGGAAAATTTATTGAATTTAGCATTACATAGAAACAAAAATCTTGATGAGGTTACATGAAAAGGTAATAATACAATTATCTTTACAATTAATACTAAATTAACATTCTATGTATATTTTTTCGCAAACATGAATTAATGTGCCCACCATGAGATATAGTGTCAAAAAGATGATTTTTCCCCCATGACACCATATTTTTTAACTACCTTCACTCTTCAGCAATGTTTATTGTTTTAAAAAGCGATAATTAGAATTGGAATAAAACCTAAACATGATGAAAGTGAATTTATACATTTTTGTTTTTGAGATTTTTGAACAAAAATATTAAACAGTGTTTATTTACAAGAATAATTTTATATTTGCAACATTCTAAAAACTAAATAGAACTAAAAATGCAATGCAATATTTATTTACCAATTTATAAAGAAATAAATGTGAAATTTATTCATAAATTTATAAATATTTTAAGATATGTGAAATCCTTATTTCCCATTTCATAAAGTTTGAATCAATTTGCAAACATTCCAATAAATAATAATTTAAATAAACAATCTAATAAATAAATATTTTTTATTATATTTGTTGTCAATTCTCAAGAACAAAGAAAATGTATAAATTCACTTTCATATGTTTAGGTTTTATTACAATTCTAATCATCACTTTTTAAAACATACATTGTTGAAGAGTGAAGGTAAGTAAAAAAACTGGTGTCATGGGAAAACTGTCGTTTTCTGAATATTTGTTTTTGACCTTTAAATTGTTCTAAAACTTGACCAATCACCCATAACATAGGCTGTTAAAAATACTGTTGTTGTTTTGTTAAGTCCAAGAAGACATTTTTCAACTTTCATGATGCTACCAATTTACACTTTATTTTGTATTTATCTTACTATATTACAAAGTGGTGTAAATATTAATTTAATTTTGACTTACAGGTTTTTTTCTATAAAATAAGATTCGTTTTTGAAATTTTTTTTTTTTTATCTAAGTAGACTTTGTGACAGAAATTAAATCCAAAATAACCAAATATTAATTGAAATCTGATGAACAAACATCCAACACTTACCCGCCATTATATGAAGAGAATAGAGAGTCATGGTATTGGTAGTGTAACAAGGTAGGGCTAAGGAAGAAAGATTTATTCTCCCATTTATTTTTTCTCCCATTTCAGGCAGTATTATATCCATGATATAATAACATGACTATTTCATGGAAAGAACAGAATTATAATGAGTAATAAAATAAATAAATAGTGTAAATAAACAATCTAATAAATAATGTCTATTTTTGTTGTCAATTCTGGTGATCAAATAAAATGAATAAATTCACTTTCACATGATTAGGTTTTTATTACAATTCTAATCACTATTCAAAATAATAAACATTATGAAAGTTAGTAAAAAAAAAAAAAGCGTTGTCATGGTAAAAAAAAACCCTTCTTTTGACACTCCATCTTATTGCGTTTATCAATGTTTGCCGTATATTTCTTTATTCTCAATCAATGCATTCTTGATTAGGCCACAAACATTTCAACATTTCCTTGTAGAAATTTTAAGTCAAACTCTTTTTTCTTTATTTTAAGTTAAGAAACAAAAAAAAAATGTTTTTTTTTTATCTAAGTAGACTTTGTGACAGAAATTAAATCTAAAATAACCAAATATTAATTGAAATCTGATGAACAAACATCCAACACCTACCCATACTGGCATATGAAGAGAGTAGTGAGTCACGGTATTGGTAGTGTAATAAAGTAGAGTTAGGGAAGACAAAGATAAAATTTATTCTTCCATTAATATTTCGCCTGTTACGGGTAATATTATATCCGTGATACAATAACATGGATATTTAATGGACAGAATGAAATGGGTGAAAGGAAATAGAATGATAAACATGCTTTGTTCTCAGAGATTCCTAAATCTAATAAAAAAAACACTTTCCCATAGCAAAAAGATTTAAGAAAAACACCATAAAAGTTAGTTATAGCTGCACTAAAAGTATAAAACAAATAATAAAAATGTGTCTGTATGTGTGAGTGTCATCCCAAACAAACACAGAGAATTTCCCCCTCCCACCACCAAACATAATCAAACACAGACAAGTATAATTATTTACCTGCTGCCCCATGCAGCAAGATGTGGCACAAGGTCTGGGGGATACTCTCTGACATATGCCAAGTATAAATAGATTCAATTTTTAAAAAATAAACCAGCTTGTGTGATGATCGCAAAAGTGTGAAACCCAGTGTCACAAACTCATATCCATACAACTGAATATGTTAGCTCTATCACTGATATTGAGCATTTTCCAATAAGTACTGTGCAAATAAAAAAAAATATATATAAAAAATATATATATATATATATATATATATATATATATATATATATATATATATATATATATATATATATATATATGTGTGTGTGTGTGTATGTGTAAGTTTGAATTAATAATACTGAGGTATTTCTGAATGAGCTACAAACCAAATGTAAAGAGAAATAAGTAACATTTACTTACATTTCTTAATGTTGTATTTCTTTTGGGCGTTGAGAGTTTGAAAATTCTGAAAGATAAAAAAAAAAAAATATTGGTAAATGAAAAATTCATAATCACTCAGATATATACAAATGAAAGTGCCTCTCACACATTTTTAAGGTTCCATATTGGATAGCATTAAATACCCACCTGCCAAATATCTCCCAATGTCTTATATGCAAAGTTGAAGTATCTGGTAGGCTGTTGTTTATCCAGACACCATAAACTATCAGTATTTGCACACTCACCTAACTCCATAATTCTATAATAATTAAATGTAAATAGTGGAGGGTTTTTATATGCCATTAAATACAATTTTATTTTTCACAGTCAACCAACTAAAATCACAAAAAGATTTACGAATGACAGGAATTTATTGACATTTCTGTAATTATTCAACTTCAATAAAACTAAAAAAAAGTCTGTCAATGAGATTTTTATTCCAATGCTTAAAACCTACAAAATTTGATAATAAAATTATTTGTTTCCTAATCAGGAGCCCTATCCAAAAATGACTTGGTTTGTAGAGGCATAATATTTACAGCAGTTGTAGCAGCAGTGAGTGCATATAGAGAAAATAACTCGACTCAGCCTGCCCATCTTCTGTCTAGTCCTGTAACACAAGTTTAAGAGCTGTATACAGGCACAGCAGAAAGCTGTCTTTAAATTCAGAGTTTTCCTTCTCTATCAAGGCTAAAGAGCCCAGTCTACTCTGCTATTTAACCCATAGCTGGGGTTAGATGTATTCATGCCTTTTCCAAGGGCATTAGCATGAAGTGAGTAAAACAAAATCAACCAGAATTTGAACTCAGATTGCTGATTTCAATTCCCATACTGTTCCACTAGCCACACATATTTTTTTACTACAGTAAATCCTAGATTTAAAGAACTAATATTTTAAAGGTGGAGGTCTTAAATCCAATGAATCCCACATTTTATAACAGAAAGAGTAAGTTATGTAGATCACTGAATAAAATATTTAAAAAAAATAATCATTACTTTCCTTGCTTATATTAAGAGGATTTGGGGAATTGGTTGTGGAATTAGTTGATCTTAGAATACCTCTACAATTTCCAGTACACATCATTCAGACAGACACACACCCTTGATATTGTAGTGTGGTCTGATTTAAAGAAGTATGTTCTCCTAGTAGAATTAACGGTTCCATGGGAGGAGAACAGGGAGGAGGTGCATGAGCGAAAGAAAAACCACTACCAATCACTGTGATCTGACTGTGTGGAAAAGGGATGGACATATCATGTGCTATCTATTGAGGTCAAGTGCTGTGGATTCCTTGGATGGTCAATTGTTTCCTTCCTTTTGAAGGTGGCTATTACTGGACAGACCACAGCTTAACAGGCACTGAGTTGGATCTGGTCAAGATCCAAAATAAATAAAGTTAAATAAAACCATGCTTGCAACACAATGCTACTTCCGACATGAAACACATTCCATTTTACATTCCATTCTATGCCATTCATAACGGTCACTATGAATGCATTGTGTATTTTAACACAACATTAGTATAATAGTTATCCACATGGAAGTTGGAATTAGCAATCCAGGTTCAAATTCTGACCTAGACTGCAACATTCATTTTTGCATTAATGCTCTTGTGAAAGGCATCAACCCATTTCTTCTACTCCTAGTTATGGGTAAAATAACAGCATAAATTGGATTTTCTAGATTTCAATGGTAGCCAATCTAAAAATTACAGACCATGGGGATGGTAACAGGAAATCATTCCAAGAAGTCAGGGCAATTCATAAAAACAAAAAAATCTGTGGAGAATTAGGATCACCCGAAGGGACATGACTTAAAAAAAAGTGTGTGTGTGGTCCGAGTAAGAAATAAGAATCATCTATTATTTCATGCTTTTTAATAAACCCCCAATTTTTGTCACATAACCACATATTTCAGAGTCCATACTAGTATTTTGTTTATTGCTGGGAAAAGCTTTTTGGTAACAGCTTATGGCCACATCACATTGAAACAAAAGTTCTCATACGATCACTGATTAAGTAATGTCGAGCCGGGTCAGTACCCAGATGGGTGACTGTATGGGAATACCAGGTGCTATAAGCTTGGATGTGTGGGCAGTGTAATGGATAATGGGTCAGAATTGTTAATCGGAGGGCAAAGTTCTAATTCCCATTGGGTTCATAATCACTTACCTGCAAATACCCTTGGGAAAAATATGAATCCACCTCTTCTCCTCCCAGCTATGGGTTAATTAGTAAATTTGTATCACTAAACCATTATTATCACAAAAAAATTCTTACAATCTAAAAATATTTTCTGGCTTTAAATAACCTGCAAAGGGTTGATAAGCCATAAAAAATGAATCAATCACTTTTTTGGTAATATCAATTTTAATGCCCAAAATAACTTCCACATACCAAATACTGAATTACCTCCCTTTAATTTCTTTACCTTGCCTCATATACCAGTAATTCTACTGATACATAAGAACTAATTCATAGTACATTGTCCTTGGAATTATAATTAATTGATGAATGGACTGCATATGGAAATTTAAATCAATTTTATAGAGTTGGTTAGATATCCATCAGGACATTAATCCCCCAGAACATTTAGTGAAACAACACAATACTAATCTATGCACTCAAAATATATAATTTCTGTGGAGATGCTACACAAATAAACTAAAAAAAATCCAAATTGTTATGAACTAAGAATGATTCCTATCCTATGTTATGGAGTGAAGGGAAAATGTTCTAAGAAATCTAAAGAAGGAGAACATTATTATTATTCCAGATTCTGTAATCCGATTATAATGTGACACTAAAGTGTCACTGGTAGTCGTTGAAAGGAATGTGACATAGGATTAAGAAAAAAAGGGTTCATGTGAGAAGCCCAGGTAGAATTGAAGCATTTAAAAGGGCTGCAATGTGGATTGAAGTGAAAATATTGCGATATGAGGTCGGGAAAATATTTATGAAGCATAGTTTTCTTGATTGTACAGAAAATTATTTAAAAGCCAAAATATAAAACAATGGGGATTGAAATTGGTTGTTTTGGAAAATATGATTTCATTTGTTAAACTTGGATAAATTCCTTAAACGATTTGAAATTGTTTTTTAGTTTGATAATAACAGCCGATCATTAGAGGCAATATTTGGGTCGTATTGGAAACGTAAACTAAACAATTGGTGATTGTTTTGAAAATGGACAAAAGAATTTGCAAAGGCCAAAAAAATTATTTTTGGAGAAAAAGAGGGTTCCTAAAAGCAGAGTGAATTCTTTGCTGATTTGAAATAAATGTTTATATACAAAAATTCATTCGTAAACAATCATACTTTATGGAGTAAATAATCACCAGGTAATTGTTGGATCCTGGTAACCTAGAGGGAATTCTGGACTGAACCCTTTAAATCTCCAGGCATAGACTGTTTTTTCCTTCCACTGCTCATGTGTGTACAGATATGTCATCTAGTAAAAACTCTAGTTCTTAATCTTATTTTTAATTTTATTGCTCGCCCTGTTTCCACTGAGTCCATTGTACACACTTCCCAGCCCAGGGATTGAACTCATAGTAATACAGTAATTATGTCACCAAATTCATGAAACAATGTTTTTTAGAGTAGACTATACGTAAGACAATTCTCTGTGGAAAAGAGGCGAATATTTATTTTGCTTTGAATTTTGATTAACCATGTTACTTAGAACGATTACTTCGCTACTTAAATTTGTGAACAGTAATTGGAAAAAATAAGTGGAAGATGGTATTTATCAATTCACCCACAGGAATTGAATGTGGCACAAGGCCTTTTTAATGTGGGTATGTCCGAGCGCAGATACTACACTTTGATCCTAGGAAGATGGTTATAAAAAGGCACTGTTAATTAAATGCAATGACATTTGTTTGCATCATGTGGCAATAATTGTAAGTAAAATGATGCAACCAAATAAGTAACCAAGTAATCGTTTTAAGTTCTCTGAACGTCGGTTCCTTTTTCGTTTTTGTTATTTATTATTATTATTATTATTTCTGGTGCATGGATTTCCAAACTTAAAGGAGGTTATTCAAACTTTTTTTTTTTTTTAGTTTGTTTTCGTTTAAATGAATTTTGAGACTTAATTGTCACAAATGCTGAATGAATTCTATTTGTTGACTTTTTATTTTCGTGAAAAAATAATGTCTACTCAGAATAATAGGCGAGATAAAGAAATGTGGAATTTGATTTTTGGGACGTTAATATCGACGATACGAAAGCTTTTCTTAGGAATGGCCAGTAATGTCCCTGGAAAACCAACAAGATGACAATTCAAAGCACCTTTCCTCATCCCATGAATAATTAGAAAAAAATCCCATGATGTAGTAATTAAAAATCGACACAGGAAAGAATGGTTTGGAGACAAAAAATTAATTTTTTTTTTATATATTTTTGGCTTTTATTAAAAATAATTTATTTTTCTTTATTTGAACATTTTATTTAACCTTTTTAAAAAGTGTTATGGTTAAGAAGAATCCTTTAACAATTTTTTATTTAAATTAAAATCAATAAAAATTAAGAATTTTGATGTCTTGCTTTTCTTGTCTGAATGTCGTAACGGTAGGCGTGAGAAAAGATTTCATTTGAAGAATTTGAAACAAGATGACTTATTACGCGAAAATAATGTATCTCTTTCAGTTTCCTTGTTTTTTAATTGAATCATTAATTATCAAAACAAAATGCCAGTAACTTTTTTGATTGTCTAAAATAAGACCACGAGAAAAAAAAGGCTATGTTGACATTTTTAGTCTTTCTTTAACTATAACAGAAGGAATAGAAAAAAAAAAAAAAAAAAAGTATTTCCCAAACATCATATAAAAGGAAAAACTTGTGCTCTTTCTAAAAACTTCTCATTTTGTAACTTGCTTATATTATGCCATGTCTACTGTAAAAGAAAAACATTATAAAACTAAAAGTAAAACAATAAATAAACAAAACGTACCTGCTCATTTTTAATAAACAAAATTTCCTCTATCTCTGTGATAAATGACCGGCAAGGGCAGGTAACTCTGTTTACTTAAGGTAGAGTGTACTCGGTTGAGCTTAGCAAAAAGACCATATATGTCGGGCACTTAGTGAGGATCAAACTCACTGATAGCAGTTAGTCAGTTTGAAGGCGAGGATTGATTTAATTTGTTTTGTTTTACGATATATCAACCTCAATAGGTTATTTAATGCCGACAAGATTTTTATTGCTGGTAATATTTTTTTTTCAAAAATATATTATTGGTAATATTTTTCCCAAAAATGTATTGCTGGTAATATTTTTTTTTTTCCAAAAATGTATGGCTGGTAAATTGCCAGTAATATTTTTTCTTCAAAACTGTATTGCTGGTAATATGTTTTTCCCCAAAAAATATTTTGCTGGTAATATTTTTCCTTCAAAAATGTATTGCTGGTAATATTTATTTTCTTCAAAAATGTATTGCTGGTAATAATGTATTGCTGGTATTAAAGCCTGATTTTACACTTTCTTAGTGTATTGGCCCTTTATTTGCCCATAGTTGGGAACACCAGCAATTAAGAGATGGTTCCACACTCCTCAAAACGCCCTGATAAGAGGTCTTGCTGTCGAATGTAGTTGATCATCTTACCCAGGATGTGGGAAGGTGAGTAAATACATCTCACTGAGAGTAATTTTAATGCGATTAACTTGTTAATCATTGATCTGTGGCAAAATGAGTTATACACTCAGCAGCAGTTTCTTTCTTAATAAAATTCTACAGAAAATGTACACTTAAATATACTTTGACAAAAATAAAAAATACGCAATATCAAACATGCCTTATTGTATATAAGGAAATATTTAACATAAACTGTTGGTTATTTTTTTTTAAATTGATAAAAAAATAAGGATTGCAAGAAATTGGTTTCTGTTGCATAAAAATTTAATAAATCTTTACTTGGATCAGGGGACCAATTTGAATTTCAAATTCTAACTGAAATTTAATTTTTCTGTTCTTTAAAATAGCTGATTTATGCTTATAGCACTGTGGTGCATGGCCGAATCCAATAGTTCACTATTTCTAAGCATTCATATCTGTGTTATTATTATTTATCATTCATATCTTATTTTATACTCCTGAAATATGATTCACTTTTCTTGTTATTGATGCCATTACTTTTGTGGTGGATTTTATAATAAATTATCAAAATATGTAAACCAAGTACAATGCAGTATTTATTATTTACCATTTTATAAATAACTATGAAAACAAGATTTTTATTCAATTTAATAAATAAATCTCATTTAACATCTTTGTTGTCAATTCTCAGGAATAAATAAAAGATATAAATCCATTTTGATATGTTTGGGCTTTATTAAAATTCTAATCATCACATTGCCAAGAGACTCAAACGTGTATACAATAATAACAAATTCTTTTGACACACTATTTTTTGTGGTCATGAGGGTTAAACATTTGCCAATAACTTTTCATCTGCAAATTTTAGGCAAAAAGTGTTGATATGTTTCAAAATTCACTTGTCCCAATCCTGAATAAATTTAATTCTCAATACTTTTAGTAATGTTCAAAATTTAATAATTAAATAACTAGTATGTAATGATTTTAGAAACATGTCAAAAATAAAAAAAGGTCAACATATATACATATATATATATATATATATATATATATATATATATAGTTTTAAGATGTTCTATATTTATGGGGTAAAGTGCTCAATATCGGAGATAGAACATATAAAATGAAAATGAAAAACAAGTAAAATAAATAAAACAAACAAGCCACTCCCACAAAATAACAGTCAGAATAGATTACCCACAATGCACCACTGACCCATATATATATATATAAATAACTGAGGAAATATCCAGCATTCACGGCCTGAAGATTGCATCCAGTGTGAAACAGCCTGTCACCTCTGAGTGTTGACTTCAATGTTCACTTTTATGTATGTGTGTGTGTGTGTGTGTGTGTGTGTGTGTGTGTGTGTGTGTGATATAACAATAAATAATTTTGTATAATTTTATATATCAACAGTATTTAGAAAGATATGACAAAAAACCCTCTCCAGTTTGTCATATCTATCTATCTATCTATCTATGTATATATATATATATATATATATATAGCAAAACATCAGCCTCCAGAAAAACACTAGCAAAAAATGAAATTAAATAAGATAAAGATATTACCAGAAATAAGAGAAAAGTGATCACAAGATACACAAAGAAAATTTTCAACCAATCACTGTTGGTTTGATCAAATTCAAAACATTTTGTGTTTCTAGCTCCTAAGAAACAGAAAAATATGTGACTTTGCAGTGAATTTTAAAATAACAGATTGCCTTCTCAAATCTGCAGCAAGTAATTCCTTTTAAATAAAGTGATCGGCAAAACAGCTAGAAATCAAATGACTGACAACAACTGAAAGTCAATCTCTAAATCAATGTCTGTACTTCCTTTTCTCCTCTAAACTGTAAACTAATGACATTTACTAAAATATATTAACTTTTTTCTATTCTTTTCATATGAAACATGTCCATTTTTTTTCTATAATAATCATCTCCATTTTACTACATTAAACACATGTCCATTTTCATGAGCTTTTCATATATTATCTTTGACAACATGGTGTAATGATTACTAAGCTTGTCTTGCTATATCATTTACAATTGAATAGTGAGTTTGATCCTCACTGTGTGTCCCATACGCGTGTCCTTGTGCCACCTCTAAACTAAGCTTAGAAGATCATCACATAATAGTTTTCTGTGTAACTTCTCAAATTTTTTATTACTATATCCCTTCAGAATGTAGGTGTTCATGACTCTCCACAATTTCCTTTTTTGTTTCATTAACTGTGAATTGCCATGCATTCTCGAGAAAGATAGTCTAGAGGTTTCTCATTGTCTTCTCCATAATTTGAAATTCAGTTTTCTTTTTTTTAGACTCACTGCCAACCAAGGCTAGAGAGACAGTCTACTCTGCCATTTAATCCATGGAGTGGGAGATAGATTCATTCCTTAGGCATTTAGACAACAATGAATGCAGCATTCTAACCTGGAATTTGCATTCTGTTTGTCAATTTCACTTTCAATCCACTACCTGCATTTTAATACCACAAAAGTTTCTTCTTTTCTATATGAAATTTTTTTCAGAACGCAGGTGATCATGGCCCTCCACAACTTCCTGTCTTTTATTGCACTAAGTAATTTTCACATTTTACCATCCCTCTTTCTCCTTGTTCATACATGCTCATTAACTAGGTTACTTGTTGCTTTCATCTACTTCTCTTGTCTACAGTAAGTCATATGAGAATTAAATTCTCTAGACACTCTTTCTTCATTATGTGTTCAAAAAATTTCAGTTGTCTTTTACTAATAGTAAGTATTTCTTGCAGTTCCTATTTTCCTAAAGGTTCTGTTTATTCTTAGAATTTGTTGGTGCAACCACATCTCTACATTCACAAAAATCCACAAAACTTATATATTTTTCTTTTGTTCTCAGTTTTAGTATTTGGAATTGTAGAGGACTGGTGGGGTAAAGATGAAAAGAAAACACGTGCATTTATATTTCCTGCTAGAAGAAGGTCCAGCTACAAGAAAAAATGGCAGACTCTAGTTGTGTCCAACCAAAGATGAAAGAAGACAAACCGAGACCGATATATATATAAACAAATATATGTATTAACAACAAATTACAATGGACATAAACAGTTAACATTTCTTTTTGTGTGTGAACATTTGTGTTTGTTCTTTGGTGAATGTTCGTATTTTGGTGAATATTCGTACGTACGTGTATGTTTGTAATGTTCATAGCGTCTTCCCAGAAATGGGAAATGCTGTCTTTTGTGAGAGCTCACATAGTAGTGGTGTTCGCTGAAATGAAAAAAGAAGAGAAAGAATTACCTCACCTCCATGCAAGGTGGGATGTGGCATGAGGCCTGGGGGAAAAGAGATTGAGACAAGAAGTTGCCCAGTATTTATAGTATGGGGAAAGAGACCCCTGGTGAAGAATTTGGGAATTAAGGAGGAGCTAAACCTGACAGAATAAATTTTATTAGATAATGTGGTCTTATTTACTGTTTTTGGTTTTGATGTGGTTGTAGGTAGCATAAAATGAATTTGTTTTCATGTTTGCATTTGGAAATGAGCTTGGATCTTTTGTTTTGGAGTATATTCTTCTAGAAAGATAATTATCATTATTTTCTCCGCAAGTCAAAGGTTACATCATTTTGAGGCGTTGTTGTAAGCTGGTGCTGTTTTTATTATATTTCATGTTATTTTTTTGTGTGTTTTGCTTAATGTTTCCTTGTATGTCTTATGAGTTTTCAAATGTTGATTTTCTAAGCAAGCAGACCCCCTTGAAAGAGTGACACAACATAGTCTTTCTAATTCCCTATTATCCTCTTTGGCCTTGTACCAGATTAAGATAATCTTTTATGATATTTCTTGAAGACAGATTCTATTTTTTTTTTATCAGCAAATGAAAGCTATTTGTATAGTGCACTTATTCCTAAGTAACTCTTTCAAAGGGTCTCAGTTGACATCAGCAGAACAAGGACATAATTGAGCTGTATTTATTCATGAATCTGAGTCCTGAATATTATAAAATGTAAAAAGATTGATGAGAAGCAATGCAAAAGAAGCTTTTAAACCATTGCTTTGTATGATTTGTAGTCAGTTCATTCATCAGAACAACATGCTCAGTCATGATTGAACATGTTTTTTGAGATAGAAAGAAAAGCATACATTGGAAAAAAAAGAATTAAAGAATTGCTATTAACAACAACATTAAAAACAAAAAATTTAATCATGGCAAAAGACATTAAAAATCTTTTCTTTTAAATCACACAATTCCAAGGGAGATAACTGCTTTTAAGGAACTTAGGATGTTTAATATTTTTATCTTTTTGCAAATATTAAGTTTCTCTCTGAATTTCTGGAAAAATGAGGACTTAATCATTATTTGCATTCAGACTATTGTC